GTGTGTCTGTGCTGCTGTCCACAGAGGTTCTGTCCATTGATCAGCAGTAGTGACTCCAGGGCTGGGTTTTGGTTCGGACCCCCGATCCCGCTGCTGTCGCGCCGGGTCTGGACTCGGATCTGACTCCGGAGGAAGAGCCGCGGACGCGGATCCAGGTGTGTGTGTGTGTGTGTGTGTGTGTGGATTTGGCTGAAAAGGCGGAGGAGCAGGAGGTCCCGGGGTCAGCGGACCGAACCGGATCGGAGCACAAACTTGGTATCTTCCTGCACCTTTTTTTTTTTTTTCGTCTTTCTGCGTCTTTCTTTGCGCCACGAGCCAGCAGCTTTCTCACTTCACGGTTTCATTCTCGGGGAAAAAGAAAAAAAATGGAGAGAAGAAAAAGAAAAGAAAAGTTCGGTCCTGGAGGGGAAACAGTAGAACCCAAACCGAAAAAAAAGCACACTGCAGCTGGGTTTTAGGTCCGGGTTTGCAGCTGGAAAGGAGCGCGCTCTGATCCCACTGTCCCCGTGCCAAAGACACACCGCCTGAGAGGGAGGAGAGAGGGGAGGAGAGACAGGGAGGTGGGGGGGAGGGAGGGGAGGGACCGGATCAAACCGAACTGTGGCAAAGATCTGTCGGCCGGAACTCACTGTTGATCCACAGAACCTTCAGAGGTGTGCTGAAGGTTCTGCTCATCCACAAACTGCATGTTCCGCTGCGCGTTAATAAGTGCAGGATGCCCCCCCCCCCTCCTGTGCGTCCCGCCGATGCGCCCTGTTGTTAATCATAAACCTGAGGCTTGACAGACACATGTCACAGCGCGCTCTGATAGATAAGGAAGCCGGAGAGGGTCAAATTGTGGTAAAAAGGAGTCGTTTTCACCCAGAAACAACTTCTTTCTTTTTTTTTAATTCTGAGACAAAAGAAAAGAAGGAGTGTTTGGTCATTTGGTTGGTGCAGAAACATTTGAACTCAGTTGGGATTAAAATATCCAGATTTCAGATTTCAAAAAAGGATTTAAAACTTTCTGCAGTTTTTTTCTTTTAATAAAAGCGCGTCTCAATAATTCAGTTCCTTTGATTTGTTTGTGTTTAGATAGATAGATAGATAGATAGATAGATAGATAGATAGATAGATAGATAGATAGATAGATA